CAATGCTGCATCTTCAAAAACTCCATTGTGTTGCACTCTGTTATTGAACATGTGTGAACTACAGCATGGGACATTATATTTTCATGTATCTCACACACACACACTGACACTCTTACCAGCGTCTCGAGTTTGGACGTGAGCTGGGCGTTCGTGAGTGCGCTGGAGTCCAGAGCCGCTGCCAGCTCCTGGTTGCGAGTCTGACGTGTCGACATGCACAGAGAAACACAGAGAGAGAGAGAGAAAGAGAGAGAGAGAGAGAGAGAGAGAGAGAGAGAGAGAGAGAGAGAGAGAGAGAGAGAGAGAGAGGGTCTCTATTTAACCCAGCACCCAGCATTTTTTAGAGTGTAGCAACCAATGCTGCATCTTCAAAAACTCCATTGTGTTGCACTCTGTTATTAAACATGTGTGAACTACAGCATGGGACATTATATATTCATGTATCTCACACACACTGACACTCTTACCAGCGTCTCGAGTTTGGACGTGAGTTGGGCGTTCGTGAGCGCGCTGGAGTCCAGAGCCGCTGCCAGCTCCTGGTTGCGAGTCTGACGTGTCGACATGCACAGAGAAAGAGAGAGAGAGAGAGAGAGAGAGAGAGAAGGTGATAAGGTGTAACAAATAATCTGTTATGTGTGTAACTGGACTCTCTCAACACTAAACAGGCATTCGTTCATATTCAAGCAGAATGGCATTTAACATTTTACTCAAAAGTGTTCCTAAAGTAGAATGAAATAGGTTCTCTCTATTAAACCCACGGAATCAAAATTAAATCAAAACTATCTGAATTATCTTACCCGCAGGGGAATATTTAGTTATTTAAAACAAGAATGATATGGACCCAAAAATATGAGCACTAGTAATAATGATGATTGACTGCCACTAATAAAAAGTGCTAAAATTAGAATTAAGTTGTGAATTACTCTTCAGAAGTACTTTTATTCATCAAATTGATCAAAAGTGACAGTAAAGACATTCATAACTATAATGTTACAAAAGGTTTCTATTTAAAATAAATGCTGTTCTTTTCCGAAACCGTTTTCAACACTGATAATAATCAGAAATGTTTCTTGAGCAGCAGATCAGCATATTATACTGATTTCTGAAGATCATGTGACACTGAAGACTGCAGTAATAATGCTGAAAATACAGCTGCGCATCACAGAAATACATTACATCTTATTATATATTCACATAGAACACAGCTGTTTTACATTCTAATAATATTTTACTATTTTATAGTATTTTTGATCAAATAAATGCAGCTTTGGTGAGACTTGAATGATAGTGTTCGTAATGCATGACTGCTCAGGCTTCTATGCGGCTGGAGCGAGTGAAATGAACTTATAAACAGAGCCTCACTCTGTTACAGACGTGTTTGTGACGCTGAAGCAGGATGTTTGTTTAGTGTGCAGCAGGAGATCATGGGAGCGTCAGATCCAATGCCAGAACAAGTCTGACAGGACACACCGCAATAACACACACACACGCTGACAGATACACGACCAACTACACCAAAGCAGACTTAAATCACAGAAGCACAGATAACAGGGAAACGGTTTTAGATCTTTTTTAATCCTTCATATTTAGCAGGAATCTGGTCTGCAAGTCCTGAGGGAATCAATCTGGGATATGATAGTGAAAATGTTATCAAGTGCCTGACGCTCTTAAATAGCCCATGCTGTAAACCCCTACAGACTACAAGCTATTTTCATCATAAGAACTCGTGCTTCAATAAGATTATCCTGCTTGAGCGAGATTAGTGACTGTTCAGAGTGGTAGACCAAACTAAATGACCTTACTGTACAGTTTTGCACGTGTTGTCATATATGTTTAATAAATAAAAGCACAGTAAAACGTATCAAAATACCTCCAGCTCCTTCTCGTTGACCGTCGGCGGACCGCTGTCTCCATTGATGTATGTTGTTGACTGCATTACAGCCAAGAAGGAAAGAAAAACAATTCACTTGAATCAAAACGAGTGAACAAGAACTCTTTGACCAATTCATTCTGGAATGGTTAAAATGCTGACACTTGGGTTATTTACGAGTGCTAGATATGAATAAAACTGCTTCTATTGCGAGTCATGCAAATGTGTTAATACTTCTATTTTTGAAGTTCACTCAAGCCATGCAAAAGTTCAAAAGAATTTGGTTTATTTGGGAGGTATTTAATTTAATTTCTTTAAAAAATGCATTTGGATTCATTTGTTTCATGGGTGCATGTCAACCTAAAGAAAAACAATGCCTGCTTTCATAACATTTCATTAAAATTGTATTAACTCTATCCACTTCCGAAATGACATTTCTACTGATGTAATCAAGCAGGGTGGAAAAAATAACATTAACCAATAACATCATAGCATCACAATCCAACCAAACCCAAAGACTGAAGCAAGCAGAAGCCGTGACTCGCCTCAGACAGCAGTCCGTTGAGCTGCTGGGAAATCTGTCTCAGGCTCTCGGTGGACGACAGCGGCCTGCAAACACAAACACGTGAGGTCAGTCTATCAAAACACACTATTTGGTTACAGTTATGAACTAAACAAGCATAACAAACAGAGTATTTCTGTACAGTTAGTGTTAACAGAGAACCAAACAGCAAGCGATAGCATGCAAATCTGAGTTTTTGTCATTGGTTTGGGTCTATTTTTGTAAAACAAACTTGAAGTATATTAAATTCTATTGCTTATAGTCAATAACATACTCAATACTTTTATACTATAAGGTCATTTTTGCGACATTAGTGTCATTTACATTATCAAATGAGAAGTTAATTGCAAAAAAAATACAGTATTTTATATGCTTTTTAATATAAAATACTAAATTACTAACTAGTAAAAAAATAATAATAATAGAAAAAAAAAATTGTGAACTGCTTGAAATAAAAAAAAAAGGGAATAAACTTAAGCTTTTTAATTTCAACTAGTTGGCAAGGCTACTTTTCTCATTTTAATTTAGTTTAACTTGAAGTACTAAAATAACTAAAATTAAAATAAATAAATAGAATTTTAATTTTAAAAAGAAAATAAGAATTTGGGGGGGGGGGATACAAAAAAAAACGTTAAAATTAAAAAGAAACTGGAAAATGTAAATATAAAAACTAATTTAAAATATGAATAAAACTATAACAGTATCTCAGTGACACTAAAATAACACTGTTTGAATCAAAGCTGTTTCAGTGTGTTGTGATTCATCTCGGTGCTGGTTGGTTTGAATCAAAGCTTAAAACTTTACGGAAGAATTTTTATCAAATGCATCTGGGAAAAAAATGGATTGAAAAATATTTCCCGAACAAGGCAGCAGAAGAACTGAGCGCTCAATAAACCATCTGATTGGTCATTTACAAATAAAGAGTAAATTCACCTGTTATCTTCCAGAGGATGTTCATCGCCGTTTGCATCTGCTGCGTACTTCTGCTGGAAAAACATACGAATGAAAAACAAACTTGAGGGACAGACTTATGTGACAACACATGAAAACATAAAACATGACAAACAACGCACTAAATTAAAAGAAGCACGTGGATCAGATTAAAAACATGAGCAAACAACAGCTGAACCGTTAACAGAGACGAACACACAACGGCTGCATTTCAAAGCCTAGCCGAGACTTCTGAAAGCCAGCTAAAGTGAGTGACGCGGAGACAGACAGACCTGCATGCCAGCGTTATCAGAGTTAATAGCAGAAGCGGGGTAAGAGACGGGTTCAGCACTGGTCTCCTCCAGCTCCTGCGAGACCCGGCTCACCGCATCCACATCATCCTGATGCAATACAGCGACAGAGACGCATTAAACTCAGCCGTCAGTGGGTTAAAACACACACATATATACACCACATTCTTCATTACTCATATGGGACCACAAAACCAGTCATAAGGGTCAATTTTTCGAAATTGAGATGTATGCATCATCTGAAAGTTGAATAAATAGCTTTCCATTGATGTATGGTTTGTTAGGATCGGACAATATTTGAAAATCTGGAATCTGAGGGTGCAAAAAAATCAAAATACCAAGTGTCATACACAGATCAGTCGAAAGACAGCAAGACACCAGATCTCAACAAAGCTGACTGTGAACATGCATGGCATCAGCGAAGCTCTGATTTCAGGCGGCGTGGACTGATTACGCACCTGACTCACATTGTCCGGCGAGTTTCTGTCAGCAGCTGCGTCCAGCTGATCGCCTGCTTTAACCTTCCTCTTCTTCTTTGGTCCAGCACTTGCTGTGGATGGGGTTGTCTTCAGTTGAAACTCCTTCAGCTGAGGGAAGAAAGAGAATTTTTTATTTTATTTTTGGAATTAAATACATCACATTACAGCTACAGGACGCACTGGAAAAAAAATACTGGTGTAGGATTAAGTTCGAAATCATTTACACTTAGAAAGTGCTAGTACATTTCCCAAATAATTAAAGAAAGGGCAAGCAACACATTGAAATAAATGTGAAATTTAAAAGTTTGAAATAGGATTTTGCTGTAAAACATACTCTAATCATCTTTGATTTATTTACAACTTTGAAAAATCTTTTTTTGCGGTGCATATGGCAGGAATACTAGGCTACTTTTTTTTTTTTTTTTTTAAAAAAAAAGAATGTAAACCTTCCTAAAAATTAAAACCCCCACCCCCACACACTACATAGGCGGCGTGGACTGATTACGCACCTGACTCACATTGTCCGGCGAGTTTCTGTCAGCAGCTGCGTCCAGCTGATCGCCTGCTTTAACCTTCCTCTTCTTCTTTGGTCCAGCACTTGCTGTGGATGGGGTTGTCTTCAGTTGAAACTCCTTCAGCTGAGGGAAGAAAGATAATTTTTTATTTTATTTTTGGAATTAAATACATCACATTACAGCTACAGGACGCACTGGAAAAAAAATACTGGTGTAGGATTAATTCGAAATAATTTACACTTAGAAAGTGCTAGTACATTTCCCAAATAATTAAAGAAAGGGCAAGCAACACATTGAAATAAATGTGAAATTTAAAAGTTTGAAATAGGATTTTGCTGTAAAACATACTCTAATCATCTTTGATTTATTTACAACTTTGAAAAATCTTTTTTGCGGTGCATATGGCAGGAATACTAGGCTACTTTTTTTTTTTTTTTTTACAACAAAAGAATGTAAACCTTCGTAAAAATTAGAACTCCCACCCACACACACTACATCCACTAAAAACACTGCTGATTTGAGTCAGAGAGCAAAAATGATGAAGAAAAGTAAACCAGAGCACTCCGGTCCATCAATTAACATCACGTGAAAAGCTGTGTTTTTGTAATAAACCAGCATTAAGGCACTTTAAGTGCCTCCATGCTTTCTTATTCGTTTTGCTAATAAACGTTCTACGTTTCTTATTTATTTGGTTATATATTATACATGTTTACTCATTTCTAGTTTTGTATACCTATTTAAACTTTATGTATGTATGTAACTTCAAACCATTGTTTCCGGCTAAATACAAGTCCATAATCCATAATAACGCTTCCTCCAATGAAAAAGTCATCAGGGCTGAATCAGGAGAGAAATCTGCACAGAGACCTCTTTTGTTGGTTTGACTGCTTCTATTGTCCTCATTTGTAAGTCGCTTTTGGATAAAACCGTTTGCTAAATGAATAAATGTAAATGTAATGTAAATGTTTACAAGCCAAAACAGCTCTAAACAAATATGTGGCTGGTGTGAGAGACAACAGCAGATGCATTTTTTCACTGGAGGAAGAGTTATTATGGACTCGTATTTGAGTTAAAAACGACTTAATACTGGATGTGTTTCAGCTTTTGTGTTCTCTAGATGTTAACTGATGGACTGGAGTGCTGTGGATTATTGTGATGTTTTTATCAGCTCTCATTCTGACGGCACCCATTCACTGCAGAGCATCCATTGCTGAGACACTGACGCAATGCTACATTTCTACAAACCTTATTTTTACTTTTACTTTTAGTCATTTAGCAGACAAACCTGATGAAGAAACAAACTCATCCTGATCTGGGATGGCCCGAGGGTAAATGCATTTTCAGCAAATGTTCATTTTTGGGTGAACTATTCCTTTAAGATAATATAATATATCTGAAAAACACATATCGGTCGACCCCTAATCTGAAAATCAATAATCTGTCTGCACAGTTTAAAGACACTGGTTGGAATGCATTGTTAAAAGTCGCTCAGATACGACAACAAACGGCACATTCTGTTCGTGAAGAGCCTCCCGTCCATTCCTGCGAGATGGAGATGGAGAACGCCGTCTCTAGTAGGTCAGATCCACAGCAGTGGGTTTGGGTGTGATTCAGATGTCATGGGATCAGATCTCATATGCCAGAGCCTCGCTTTGCCATTACTTAGATTCCAGCGTTGATTTTTTCAAGCCGTGTTGACGTTCCAGAACACAGACAGCATCAAGGACAGCAGCTGTGCTTCACAACCTAGTGTAGTAGACATGAGCTCCCTAACTAGACAGCACTGTTGGGCATCAAGTGGCTGCCTTCCTAGACAGCACACACTTGCATCATTGAACAAAACCACTAATAATCACAGATTTGATCAAACAGCAACCTAAAGATTACAATGAGGACAAATTAGTTATTAGTTAAGCACTGTTAACAAACTATACAATCACCCAGCTGTTTCAATTAGAGCTGTCACTTACTAACTAGCAGTTAGCAAGCAAACTAACACTAATCAGTTGGTTAAATGAGCCTAAAGTCAAAAAAAGTGTTATTTTGATGTCTAGCTTAGCTTTATTTTCAACTAAATCACATTGTTGTTGTTTTTATTCTGTAACTGACGCCACAACACAGAGGCTAACAACATTAGCACGCCAAGTTAAACTGACAAACACGTATAAAGCGCATTTCTGACAGGTTTAAATCGTTATAAACGCGAATAGAGAGGCGAATTCTAATGAGTTCGTATTCAGGCCCTGCCGCAGCTCAGTCCCCGGGCTTTCCTGACAGCCGCGCCCGTCTAAGAGCGCAGGCAGCCGGATGTGGGCTCGCGGAGAGGCCGGTAGACGTGGAACGTCAACATGACAGATGAAACACACGCGCCCGGACGCGATTCGCTCACGACCAGCAGTTGCGTTTTGTCGCAAAGAGAGTAAAAGAAGATGTGGAAGCACAAAAACGTACCTTTTTCTTGGCTGCAGCGAGTTTGATTTGCCTGTTCTGGTCCGCCATCCTCTCGCGCAGCTGAGCGAACGGCACACCACGTCACCAGATGATCCGCGTGCGTGCCGTGCGTGCGTGCGTCACACACACGTGACGCTCCCTACTGACTGCGATTTCCGCATGCAAACACTGGGCAGTTTTACTCATTTTAGCAAAGTTAGGTTTATTTACCTATGCTTTAGCTTTACATTTTCACCTTTTGTTATATATTAAGGTTTATTTCGTTGTCATTCAGCAGCTTTTGTAACACATTCCGTCGGATACGCATGCTGCTATAATATCTTATAGCTTGTTATGTATGGAGGACGAGACCTGCAAAAACAATAAATAAATAAATTCACAAATAAATAAATAAATGTGTGCACAAATACACGTATTCTTGTTTAAATACATAAATAATTATATATGTGATGAAAGTAGGCAAATAAATAAAATAAATTGGTGGGCAAACGGCACGCCGCGTCACCAGATGATCCGCGTGCGTGACACACACACGTGACGCTCCCCACTGACTGTATATGATTTCCACATGCAAACATATGCTGCCTTCACGTGCTATCAGAAATGTCATATTTCCCACTTAAGAAGTCGTGATTACGAGCTTGTCGTATTCAAGTGCTTTAATGTCGGAAAGAATAAAATGTAGCATCCCATTGGTTGAATATCAGAAACATTCACCGCGCTATACATGCAGTTTGCTGACAACTCTGGAATTTCGGTCAAATGCATGCTTATTTCACTGCTTATAAAGCACACAATATGCTTCTAATGATCGTTCCTATCTAGCCTATAAATACACTACTTTAGCGACAAGACAAAGGGATGTAGTTGTGAGAACAGCATTGACAGCAGCAATAGTTGTCCCGTGTTTAAAGATCATGACCAGTTTAAATACATAAATAATTATATATGTGATGAAAGTAGGCAAATAAATAAAATAAATTGGTGGGCAAACGGCACGCCGCGTCACCAGATGATCCGCGTGCGTGACACACACACGTGACGCTCCCCACTGACTGTATATGATTTCCACATGCAAACATATGCTGCCTTCACGTGCTATCAGAAATGTCATATTTCCCACTTAAGAAGTCGTGATTACGAGCTTGTCGTATTCAAGTGCTTTAATGTCGGAAAGAATAAAATGTAGCATCCCATTGGTTGAATATCAGAAACATTCACCGCGCTATACATGCAGTTTGCTGACAACTCTGGAATTTCGGTCAAATGCATGCTTATTTCACTGCTTATAAAGCACACAATATGCTTCTAATGATCGTTCCTATCTAGCCTATAAATACACTACTTTAGCGACAAGACAAAGGGATGTAGTTGTGAGAACAGCATTGACAGCAGCAATAGTTGTCCCGTGTTTAAAGATCATGACCAGCCCAACTCTGAAACTCTGCTATCAAAATTATTTCCGAATTTCCCAGCACTAAATACGACTTGAGAGGGGTTCACGTCTAACTTCCGATCAGGAAACTCGTATTTATGATAATTCCGATAGGCACGTGAAGGCAGCATACGTCATTTTAGAAAAGTTAGGTTTATTTAGCTATCCTTTAGCTTTAAATTTGTATCTTTCGTTATATATTAAGATCGATTTCATTGTCATTCAGCAGTTTATGTACCGCATTCCTTCATATATGCTACTATAATATCTTATACTAGCTTGTTATTTTCTAAACACTGATATTTTCTCAATATTTCGTTATATATTAAGATCGATTTCATTGTCATTCAGCAGTTTATGTACCGCATTCCTTCATGTATGCTACTATAATATCTTATACTAGCTTGTTATTTTCTAAACACTGATATTTTCTCAATTTACAGTAAAACTATGTAAGAAAAAAAAATTCCCCTTGAGAAGATATGTTTAGAAATGAGGCAATTTCAGGAACAGGTGTTTTCCATGTGAAAAAAGGGTTTGTATGGTCATTCAAATGTCATGTGACTTCAAAACAGCACATCATTGTCTACCTTAAGGCCTGCCCCTTTAATTCCTATAGTGCAATACATTGTACTTAAAAAAATAATAATAATAAAAAAAAAGGAAAAGCTTTGAATCATTTGAACCATTTGCTTTGTTGCTCACCTGCTGGTCAGAACAGTGTTATTGCAACTAAAACTCAGACCAAACATGCATAAAAGCAGCTTTTACAAACCCAATGCATATATTTCACTGAAAGTGTAATCTATTAAATGCATTTAGCAAATACGAGTTCTTTTATCAATGTGAAACATTTTGAAACAGTTGTGATGTAACGAAGCCTGCTGTGAGAAGCGACTGAGACGAGTTTCGAAGCTGAGAGAGCGCATGCAGAACAAACAGGTTCTAAGGTTTAAAACATAGAATACACTAAATCAAAACGTTTCTTTTAAGGCCCTTTATGGGAATCATGCAGCTGTGAACTGTGATGAGAGAAAACTGGGCTAGTTGTCCTTGCAGGCAATTTTTGACCATAGTATTTTTGGACTGATAATTTTGAACACCGGAGACAGAAGTTACATGCATTTTTGCGAATGGTTAATGTCATTAATTAGAATACTTTTTACATTAGAAAACGAATGTTCTTCTTTGGGAAATCGGTATCAGGTATCGTGATATTTTCTTTATTACTGTCTTATCGCGTTTTTGTGTTGTAGAGATTGCCTTAAAAACGGTGTGTATTTATTTAGACGAAATCATTTTGTTCTGAGTTGATGCTCTATGTATATATGATTATAAAACACTTTCTATTTTAGATTTTACTTCACAAAAATGAAAATGTTGACCCCTGGGTAAATAAAGTAAATTAATAAATATGTCTTACATTTTTATTATGTTTTTAAAACTGTGTCAGTGTAAAACGAAACAAAATATTCTATGAAAAGTAGCATTTTGACAATTTAGTTGAAATAGGAGTGTTAAATGGGCCTCCATCAATCCAAAAATAAACAAAATTCACCTCGTTTCTGAGCTTTTCAAGCAGTTCTTTTGACCTTTTTTTTGACAGGAGTCAAAAGCTTTTTCAACTGGGGAAAGTACTCGAGAAGCATAAGCAATGGGTCGCAAATTTTCCTGTACTTCTTGAAGGAGGACGGCTGAAAGAGCCTCCTCCGTTGCAGCTGTCTGCAAAATAAATGGTTGTGTTCTGTCTGGATTGCGTAAGGCTGGAGCTTCAAACAATGCCATTTTCAGCTTTTCAAAGGCTGTCTGATGATCGGGACCCCAATCTAAATAATCATTTTTGTTGATTGTTCAGAGATTTTGCAATATCTGCAAAGCCATCAATGAATTCTCTGCAAAATCCCACTATACCTAAAAATGACCTCAAAGCTGTTACTGATACTGGAACTGGGAGTCTCTGAATAATTTCCACCTTGTGTGGATCAGGTGTACGCCCCCCTTCCCTTATCTTGATGCCTAGATAAGTGACTTCTGACTTGAGCAATTGAGCTTTTTTTGGATTTAATTTTAGTCCAACCTCTTTTAGTAACTGCAGCAATTCTGCCAGTAAAATGATGTGTTCTTCTCTGGTAGCTGTCTGTAATAACAAATCATCCACATACTGAATTAGACATTCAGGCTTAGAAAATCGTTCCAGTATTTTCGCTAAACACTGGTGGAACAGTTTAGGTGAGTTCACAAAACCTTGTGGAAGGACATTCCATGTGTACTGCGTGTTTCTAAACTTAAAAGCGAATTTATGTTGGCATTCTGGATGTAGTGGAATTGACCAGAAGCCATTGGACACATCGAGAGGTGAGTAAGAGCTAGCTTCTGGTAAAAGAGATGCTAACACATCAGGGGTGGAAGCCACTACAGGTGCACATGTCTGTGTACATTTGTTAAGTTCTCTGTAGTCTATGCATAATCTCCAAGAATAATTTGGTTTGCGAACAGGCCAAATTGGGCCTAAGGATGGAGAAAAGCATTGCCTAATGACACCCTGTTCTAACAGAGAATCCACAGTACATTGTATATATGGATTTGCTTCATCTGGATAATTATACTGTCTGAGGGAGGGTGGGTCACCCCCCTGAATCTTCACTTCTATCACACTAGTATCAACTCGGCTACAATCATGTTTAGATCTAGCAAAAACACACCTGTTTTTACTCAAAAGTTCTGATAGTTCTGAATCTTCCACTAATAACAAAGTATCTAAATCATAATCCTCCGACTTCTTGATTGCATGTACAGCATGTACATC